AGATTTGGCCTCAATATTATAGTGACCACAGTAAGAAGGGCTCACAAGGTAAATCCAAATTTTCCTTTTTATTTAGAAAACCTTGGCCTTTGCAACGGAATTTTCGGCTATTTTTGGGGGCAATGTTACCTCTGATCCTTCTTTACCGCGCTCTCGAATGCTTCCACGTAAGGAGCATCACACGATCGATGTCGTCATAAGGGAGGCTATTGAGGCCAAATCTACTGATTTAATTATTATCGGGGAGCGCCTCAAAGAGCCTTATTCACTTACTTTGGTTCATTTACCGAGTGGACCCACCGCATCTTTTAGACTTTCTTCAATAGTTACGTCGAAACAATTGGGAAAGAATTGCGGATCGGCTACAAACCATCCACCAGAGCTGAATATGGCCAACTTTGACACCATGCTAGGGCTGACGGTTGGCCGATTCTTGACAAATCTGTTTCCATTTAAACCCCAGTTTGAGGGCAGGCAAATTGTCACATTCCACAATCAACGAGACTTTATTTTTTTTAGAAGGCATCGCTATATATTCCAAGGTGTAACAGGGGGCGAAAAGACAAAGTCCACCACCTCATCAGCGCCCTCTGTTCGCATGCAAGAGCTTGGTCCTCGGTTTACCCTGAAGCTCATGGCCATTCAAAAAGGAACATTTGACCTGACAAACGGCGAATATATTTGGGTGCGAGCCAATTCCAAAATGAACACACGCAAGCAGTTTTACTGCTGAATCTTTTAACTATAAAGTCTTTAATTTATTTTTGTCAGACTCTGGCTGATAACATAGCGGTTTTCAGCGGGAAGAGGCGATATTTATAGGATTTATTTTAAGTTACGCGGAGATTTTCTTCAAAATTTGGACGACGTCCTCGTCTTGGAGTTGATGCTCCTTGCCCACCTTTTGCGGATTGAACTTGACGGATGTGCCCCATACAAGAGCAGACTTGAATGAATTGATTATGGATCGGTGGATGCTTGCACAAAAATCCTCCACAGTAGAGGCGGTTTTTCTCAAAACAACCGGGGTCGCATAGTCGGGAAGCTGTCCCCGCGGCTTTGTGTAGATCCTAATGAGCCCCAAATATTCCCATGACATCTCTAGAAGATCATCAAAATTCCACCCGTGATGCCCGGAAACTGGGATCGCATGCGGAATTTTATAAATCAAATCAAGTTCCTTTAGACAACATTAGTACAGCGAAAAATTACCTCAATCGAGATCTGGTCGATTTTGTTGAGAATATAAATACAGGGAATGTAAACTCGATTTCCCTCGATGATATCAATAAGGTCGTCCTCTGTAGCATCGTATTTGAAGATCACTTCGGCATTTAAAATACGGTACTCTGCAAGGATGGCCTTCACACCCTCGGTATCCAAATGCGTGAGGTTTACAGTGGATGTTACCGAGATGCCCCCACGATCCCGCTTTTTGATATTAATCATCGGCGGCTGCTTGTTAAGACGAATTCCAAATCCCTCTAGTTCTCGCTCAATAACCTTTTTATGTGTTAAGGGCTTCAGAACATCAAGCACAATGTAAATCAGGGAACACGTCCTTGCCACTGCAATAACTTGACGACCACGGCCTTTTCCATCCTTTGCGCCCTCAATGATTCCGGGAAGGTCGAGAATTTGCAGTTTTGCTCCTTTATATTGAAGAATACCTGGGAAATGAAGCATAACAAGCTATACCAGGGACAGTGGTGAGCGTTGTAAACTCATATTCAGCAACGGCAGAATATGTTCCCGTAAGTTTACTCATAAGTGTTGACTTTCCAACACTAGGGAAGCCCACAAACCCGATTCTGGCAACACCGGTTTTAGCAACGTCAAAGCCCACTACAATAAGCAAAACACACATACCTTCGCCGCCTCCGCCGCCGCCCTTAGGCGTAAGCAATTCTCGTCGTAGTTTTGCCAACTTTGCTTTTAGTGTGCCGAGATGATACGCCGTAGCTTTATTCTTCTGGGTGCGTGCCATTTCGGACTCGATTTCCTTTATGCGCTCAACAACAGACATTCAATAAAATTAAAATTCCATTTTCAAGTTGTTAATTTTAAAATCCAACAATTTATGACATTCCTGTTTTACTAGCATGGCTGTTGGGCTAATCAAGCAAAGTTGCTGGTACATTTGGTTTCTTTCCTTAGGGCCCCAGATGGCTCCATAATTGTTGCATCCCATGATGATAATAGATTTCGGGCGTATGCGGTCAATGAGAACAGCAAGACGGAGCATTCCTCCGTGATCGCTGCCGATATTCCTTCAGATGGGGGGCTTGCCTCTATTTCTCGTACGCCCCTGCCCATTTATTAGCTAGTCGTCTCCTCTTCTCTATTTGAGTGGAATGAGGCGTGTCAAATTGCTGAGCCGGAGAGTATTACTGACTTTGTGTTTTACCCTCATTTTCGATTTTCAGGAATTTTTGTATCTTTTACCTTCAGATCCAAATGTAGCATTGATAGCGTCAGCAACAAGATTGCACCCGGTCCGTCTGTTAGATCTTTATCACAAAACAGTATTTTTCGCTCGCTCATTGTGTCATAACTAGGCTCGATGCACATATTCTGCCAAAAATGACTCGGACGAGCTTGTTTCCCCATACTCTATCAGCTTTTCTCCCTCGGGATCAACGTAAATTTCGGATGGGCTTATCGATCTTTAGTCTACTGGCTGGCTATAGATCGCGTATTTTTCTTTGGGATGTTTGTACACCAGGAACGTCGCCAAAGTCGATTTTAAAAACAGCATCTTGCACAGGCTCTTCAGATGCATCTTTGAAAGGTATTGGTGCTTGTATTTTACAGTTAGGGATAATATCTTCTATTCTTGTTCCCGACGATAATTTGCTTATTGCAGGTTATGCCTTTGATCGCTCATCATTAGGTACATTTGAGGGCGATATCGCCATTTTTGATCCGCGATATAACGCATCTCCGCATTCTGAAGTCCCCAATATTTTCTCTTACAGCTACGAAAATATGAGTGCACTGTATCATGTTCTACCGGAAGATACCGACGGCGCCACCGGTGTAATACAGGTAATCTCGACCCAATAATGAATGTAGTTGCAAATGGTTCCAAACTCAACTATTCTTTTGTCTGGACATAGAAAGTGTGATTGGATTTTGGGATGGGATCTTAGGAAACTGGACGGCGATCCCGTTATAAAGCTTCCGCGGCCTATTCACACACACCAGCGAATAAGATTTGGTATCAACGAGCAATATATTGGGGTTGGACATTTTGATGGAAAGATTTCACTTATTCCATTGACGCCGTCATTTCCGGACGATTTTTGTAACGGCATTACTTTTGACCTGTCGATGCTTCACGGAAAGGGTATCATTGATCGCTAAAGCTAGATGTGGTCTCTTCTTTTTGCTTTGATCCTCTGTTTCGAGGCCTGATATCCACATCTTCAGGCAGCCGGGAAGGTGCGCAATCTTCGCTTTCGCTATGGAAGACCAACGGTGTGTAGCCATATGCGTATAGCCACCATGCAATAGGCTCTGCAAATTAAAAGCTTGAAATATTATTTTTGCAAACGACCCAAGTATTTAATGCCCATATTGCCATGTTCCGTTTGCTCTGCATCCAGTACTTCATATAGATGCCCCGCGTGCAGAGTTCCATGGTAAGCCAGTCGGCACATTTAAATATTAGCTGCTCCATGAAATGTTTTAAAAAGCACAGGGGTATTCTTCGTTTGCTCATCATAGAAAGGTGCAATACGATTTCCGGATCCGAAAATGCTGGCAAAGAAGGGCCTGGGGCTGAACCGGGTGCTATGTGCGGAATTTTTTCCGCACATAGCATGCAGAATTCAATCAGTACACTTCCAAACGCAATTTTGAGGAAACTAGGTATCCACTGTGTCAATAAGCCTAGAATCCAACGAGCAGTTGAAGGAATGGAACTCGGTTCCTGAAAACCATCGGCTTCTTCTGGATATACTTTCAGCAAAAGATCCAAAATCCAAGCTGGAAAATTCACTTTTGCATGATCCTCGAATGCAGGTCCTTGCCGGCTTTCTTTCCGAAATACTCCGGTAGCTAATTAAGTATAAAATTTGCAGTGCAATTGAGCGTAAAATGGAGAGTCAGGTTTAAAAAGGGCTTTTTATAAAATTTTACAACTTGTAAAATGTCGGAAGACCCCTATGCCAGTGTCATTCCAAGGAAGTTAAAGATCGCCAAATCCTCCGAATCAACATCATCAAAGCCAGCCAATATGGATCAAGCAGTGCCAAAGCAGTTCGTGCAAACACAGGCAGAAGAAATCTTCCATCGACAAAGGCTGGAACGCCTTGCGGCGCAAAAGGAAAAACAGCCCCAAAAGACATACAAGGAAGCCATAAAGGCATTCAATCAACGGCTAGAACAAACATCGGAGCATTACGACATTCCAAAAGTTGGTCCTGGATAATATTTTTTGTACGAATAAAATTTAAATAGATGCACCAAACTGGCGATCACTCTAGTGTGATCGATTGCTACACCGAGGAATTCACCGCAGAGTATGGGCGTGGTTTTCTAAATCTTAGGGCCTCAATTTGCTACCATCAACAGGAAAAGCTAAATCAGCACATCAAAAGGCTAATTTTCCTTATTTCCGATTTCAATCGGACTCAAAGTCAACTGAACGAATCATCTGATCTCCTTTCGAACGAGTTTAAGGTAGCCCTCAGCCATTGATGTGATAGAAACTCGGGTGTATCAACCGATGGATAGAAAGCATCGAGGAAAAGGTCTCAATAATTGCCCTTACAATTGAAAAAATCTCCCAACAGAAAAAAGAGGCCATCAGAATCGGACACAATAAATGATAACAAAAATTCTTTTTATTACATAAAATTTAGGCAACCACCTGTTCAATTGATGCCTGAGTGTCCTTTGCTTCCTGGGAAGTTGGTTCAGGATGCTCCAAAGCGACGCGGACAGTAATTGGACGATCATTAATCATGCAATTCTGAAGATCTGCAAGTGCACGCTTCTGCTCGGCAGCAGAGTTGAGTTTGACAAATCCGTAGCCACGAGACTGGCCATTGCGCGAGGTGACAATATGAGCACTTTCAATGGTATATTCGGAAAAAATGTTTGCAAACGCCTCGTCATTCATCTCAAAAGGAAGGTTCGCAATAAAGAGACTCGTTTGAGACTTGTTCATGTTCTGTCTCGAGGCGCTGTCATTGCGACGAACTCCACGTTTGTTGCGGCTGTTTCCACGCGTGCGTCCACCATTTTTCTGAATGCCCTCAACTTGTGGCACTTGCTCTTTTGGCTTGGCTAATTCTACGTTGATTTCTCTGCCTTCAAACATTTGGTGGTTAAATTTGCTGTGGGCAGAAACTGCATCCTCTTCTTTTGAAAAGGTCACAAACCCATATCCAAGGGAGCGATTGCCACGGGTGATAATCTTTGCAGATTCTCTATTAAAATTTAGTAAAGTTTAAAAATTTGGAATAAATGTGACTCAGAGCATTAGTAGAAACACGATTGGGGGTCTTAAGCCCTTCATAAACACGGACCAATGCAAAAAATCATCATCGTCACTTGGTTTTGCAAGAAGTAAACTTACACTTTACCGCAGACAGAAAAGTATGCCGAAAGAATGTCATTAGTGACATTAAAGGGAAGATTTCCAACGAAGATCTTCTTGGAATCATCCAACGAGATGTTAGCAGCAGGAACAGAGGACATAATGTGTTATCGAAACTATGCCGTAAGTAAAGATCTCACAATAAACAGGAAGAGCAACGGATGAAAATGAAAGGATTCCCTACCTGGAGATATAGAAACCTTGTATAAAAATTTTTTTCGTTTATGGTTTATTCTAGGGTTGGTTGTTTGTAAATTGGTACTAGGGTTAGGCGTAAGAATTTATTGCCAAATTAAGACATGAATGTAGACGGTGATCAACGACGAATAGAATCTCTCAAAAAGAATGTAGTTAATGAATCAACAGATGGCTACAAGTCAAAAGAAAGGGATCTTTTGAGATCAAAATTCAAAGCTAATCAAAATGAACACCCTTATATTTATGATAGGGAAGCAATAAATCAAGGACATCCTTTGAATGGCTCTTGCTCTCAAGAAGGGTACATTTTTGTTGATTGTACGCCGGCTTCAATCTTTGACAAAAAGATTTACCGTTCAATGATTGAAACAGATAATAGAACCTCAATCAGGCTCGGTGAATTTAAACAAACGGGAACGTTCATGTTTAAGGCTGGAATTCTTAAAGTTCCCAATGGGCTTCAGGAGTGCACAGAAAACCTTTCCGAAATAGCGTCTATTTTATTGAGCCTAGATGCTTACAGCTGTGCAAATTAATAAATTGTTAATCTAGTGGAGGGTTATTTTTAAAGTTAAAACATTGGAACCTCTATCTGGCCAAGGGAAATATATAGGTAACCATCGTATGAAAGTACATTTTATGGATACAAGATATCACATATATTATTACACAGTTTCAAAGGAAATAGTAGGCTCATTCTTTTTCCCAAATTAATTTAATAATATGGCAAATTAACCTTCAAATTACCGAAATAGTTGAAAATTAAATTAAAGCCAATCAATGCAAAGCAAATAGGATATTTTTATGTTTTTTGCTGTTATCGATAGACACACACTTTACAAGAATACGCTAGAATTCATGCACAATTTAATTGGCTTCTTTACCGGCATTTTGTATTCTCTTGGAGTATTGCCTTCAAGTATGAAGCCAGTTTCTAAAAGATCTCATATTTCTTCAAAGGCACTCAAAGTATATGAGATGTCTTTAAATATTCCGCGCTTTCTATGTACATCTGTGGGTAAGATTTTCAGGTCTGCTTTTTATGCTACTGTTTGGCTTTTAAAGTTTTCTTTTCATAATTTGTATTGCTTTTTAAGCTGGGTTTTTTATGGAACAAAAAAAGTAATTTGGGGTATGACTTTTTCCAGTAAAGTCCTGTACATTATCATCCCGAGGCTTGTTATTATTTATACGTGCTTATTACTTGCTGGCGAAATTATTGAAAGCCTTGTTGATATGGGCTTAGACAAACTATGTTCCCAGTGCACGAGATCAGAAGAAAAAGATGTAAATCGGATTGGTTTATATTTTTCTTACTGGATAGGCAGCTTTTGCTACTATATTTGGTCCATGTTGTCAGGATGGCTTAGATCTCGCATCAAACGTTTAGTTCCTTTTTTTATTTTTGAGATTTATAATATTTTTGGCTTCTTTTTCACAGTTTTGTTTGCGATAACACTCCCCTTTTTGATAAAGAATATCAACCTTTTATACAACTGTTATTTTGCCATGCATAATAAAATCTAGCCACAAATTAATTTTATTGGTTTAGCTAATGTTTTTCTTAATTATGATAGGATGATTTGCTATTTATATCGGTTTATTTGGTAATTAGTTATTTTAAACATGGGTTCGACTCTCTCCACTTCAAATAGTTGGCTGGGGTTTATTTATCGTTTGCCTTTGAGTTGGCTTTCTTTGCCTTTTAATTTTCTGATAGGGGCCTTTAAGTTAATATTAGGCCCATTTTTCGGTAGCAAGTACTTTCTTTCACTTATACTTACGGTTGTTACTACCTGGCTATATATCAAAGTGGATATATTTCATTCTGTGATGAATTGGTTGCTTTGCATGATCTTTTTTCAGCAGAAAGACCTTTCTTTTAGAGAAAATGCGCCTCGATGCTCTATAATACCAGTCAGTATATTAAGAGGAATGCTAAGGACTCCTAATATCGATTCTATTTTGGTCGGCTTTCTCACTTTTATAACTTCAGTTCTTGTTATCGGGGAGCATTATTTCTTTATTTTACTTGCTGGTTTGGTTTATTTCGGTTTAATTAAATCATTCGTGGATTGTTTACCACAAGCTTATGGATCTCAAAGCAACTCCTGGTTCTGGGGCTCTCCAAAATCTAGCCCTAATCCCGTTAAAAAGGAGGTGGATGTGCCTAAAAATAGCACGCTTCATTTTATTAGTAAACCGTTTTTGGATTCTCTTACGCAGATGTGGAAAAAAATGACAAATGCAGATACACCTGCTACTAATAGCAACGACCCTTTATCTCAAAAGAAAACATCTGCTACCAGCAACGACTCTTTATCTCAAAATAAAGCACCTGCTAATAATAACAAAGCCTTATCTCAGAATGGAACACCTGCTAATAATAACAAAGCCTTATCTCAGAATGGAACATCCCAGACTGCACGCCGTGGACTTCGCAAGTAGAAGAAACAAATTCTGAATAAATTAAATTTATTTTTACAAATTAAACAAATTATCAGCGCTCAGCATTGGGATTTACAACTTTTAGCCTGATCTTGGGCACCTCCACCTTATTCTCCAAAGGAAACTTGATGCGTATTGTAGGAATTGGTGCCAACGGCTTCTCCTCAGCACATTTAAGAACGATGCGAAGTGGAGCTGGTCGAGGCTCGGCTAGTCGAATTGATGGCTTTACTTTCCGTTTCTTTTTCTTTTGCCTGCTAACAATAAACGAGGCCTTGTTTTTTCTACTGGCAATAAAAGAAGTAGAGCCCGAGGGAATCAGCTTTATAGGCGGCAAATTTTGGGCAGGAGGCACCGATACGGTCGGCTTTATAGGTGTCCTAATGACAATGGACAAGGATGCTTCCGTTGATGGCAATGAAGACGAAATGGAGGCAGTAGTGGATGAGGCAGTAGACAGATGTATCACCGAGGTGTGGGCAGAAGCCCCGTCGGTTCTGCAGAAATGAGCACGTCTTCTGGACCCCGGTGTTGACGCTAATTCTCCCAGCCACACTTCTCTACTTTGGCCAACTCCAAAATAGTCACGGGCCGATAAAGCCAGCCCATAAAGGAGTGACGAGGGGAAACAACAGCGGCGAAAAACCGACGAAACGGAGGCAAATAAAAAGTTTGAAGCCGCTTTTCTGACCTCTTCTTGCGAAAGTTCAGGACCCCTACCCTTTGGACCATTTGATTTCAAAGACAGGCAAGTGCGGCCCCCGCTAAACGCCAAAGGATACGGTTGAAAGTAATTTGAAACAAAGGTGGGATCTGCATGAAGCGCCATTGCGGGCGAAAATGGGACAGTAAGGGCTGCAGGAGAGCCCAGCATCGAACAGATGTGAACGGAGAGAGCGGATCGAGGCGAAACAGGCGATATAATAGTCGGAGACCGCGAGGGATACATACACTTAAAGACATCATACTCCAGTAGGGTATGAACCGATTTCCCCCCGTTTTGAGGCACCAAAGGGCTGTCAGCATCCATCTCGAGCTCGTCAAACTCATTCCGAAAGTAAAAAAAAGAAGAAAGGAGATCCGCTGACGGCTTTAAAGATTCATCGACTAGGATTTAAAAAACTCTCAAATACCAATGGGCAAATTTGCGTCCTCTTCACCCACAACTTCCTCCTCCGCTTCTTGCTCGCCAGATTTCATTTGTAAAGGGGAGGGATCACTGAGTTTCGGCTCCAGCATCATTGAGTCTATCAGTTCTGAAGAGGACGATGAAGATGGCTCCCTGAAAGACCGGGGAAGAGTTGTGAAAAGTGTCAAAAGTGCCTCTGGAGGGAGCATGCGTCTTGATTGAGATGGTGTGTCGGATGGAATTGACGCCAATCGCTCCATCAATGAGCAGATCCATGAATTTTGGGCGGCTGTATATCCAATAAGCTCCCCAAGAGCAGGTCTCACTGTTTGGAGCGGACAGTGCTGAGCAAGGTGGCTACGAGCAGAAAGCTCGCCAGATCTCGTAAGAAACACTCTGATGATCGACATGGTGTCGGCCGAGTTTTCTGGAGACATCTTCATAACGAATTCGTCGATGGCATATCTCATCTGTAGGCAGAGAGATCGCAGTCGCAGATGGAGAACATGAGACAGGATCCGGATGATTTTATGTGAACGAAACCTTTCCATGCCCAGCTGTTGACAGATCTGGACAATCACCAAATCAAAGATGCGCTGCTCAGGTGAATGCATGTTGCATTGCTGCATGAGTGTGTATGATGAGGATGCTGTGGATAATGAAGAGATCGGGGTGGAGGGGAGATTCTCGCGACGTGCTCGTCTGCTTGTTTTTTGCACCGGAATCGAAAATAGCTGGAAATGCCCATTGGAACCAGAGTAGTTACCCTGGTGATCGGAGAAGGGAATCCCTCCCGAAGGCAGACCCATCATCTGTATCGAGATTGAATTTTGAAAATTAGAATTTGCACTTTGCACGATGCTAGTGATTTTGGCCGAATTTAAACATGCAAAAGTTTAAGTGTTCCAACGTCGTCTTTTGCAGCCACATTGAGTGTAACCCTCAACGCAAGTCTTTTTGTCGGTGTATCTGCGTCAAACAGCATCGAGGCAGGGCAGCATATCAATTGCCTATGCAGACACACAATATAGGGCAATATGGAGAGAGATATTAACTAACACTTACAAACGTGCTCGTATGGGGATCATCGTCAATGTAGCTCAAACATCGCTCCCCCCCTGCTTCACTCAAAGCTAATCCGGGTCAATTAAAGTGTATTAAGATTAAAGTTCGGCTCCAGAAATGGCCTCGTCAAACGACGAAGGAAGTGTTCCCTTTTGCTGGAAGGATTCTGCGAGGCGCTTTAGCGAGCTTATGGAGTCTGGACCAAGTTGGTGAAGGATGTCTGGGATAAGCTCTGTCAATTCTAAAGCATAAGACTAGTATGCGCAACCTTTTTCTTGGGCATTTCCGGAAATCAAAAAGGTGTTGCATTGGATGGAGGCCTGAATGGTTGGCATCGGGATATTGATTACTTTGCCGTCATCCTTGAACATATTTACCACCTCAATCCCAGGAATCGGTTGTGCATGGAGTTTCTTCATGGTTGCCTGGATCTTTCGATCATCAGCAACGGTGGACGTGGTACTTCTTTTCGCCTTTCTGCGAGGCGTACCTTTGCCACCAAGTCGTGAAGCTGCCGCCGCGCTCTGCATCTTGGCAAGTTTGACTGCGTCTATGGCCATTGATATAACAAAATAAAAGTGCAAGCAACCTCGTGATATTGCATAAAATTTTTTAAATTTAAAATTTGGCCGGTTTGACTCTATGTCCCTAACCCAGGAATCGCATTCTTTATTTAGTATCTTCTCATTAAGGGAGAGAGTGATACGGATTGTCAAATCGCCCTTCTTCAATGGCAAAGAGTACCGATCGCTTACTCCGCAGGTTGCATTTGATTTTCTCTTCAATGCAATGCACTTGAACCTGAATGCACTGAACTTTTTTCATATTAGAAAAAATAACGGCATGGAAATCCTAGCTTTTGATTTGAACTCAATTCCATTTATCGTCAATTCGGTCAAAGGTAAAATATATCGTTTATGTATCTAAAATCAGAGACAACAGCATATCGAGCGGTGATAGACGAATTGGAAAGGAACTTTGGAGCTCCAATTCCACCGTCTACATATCAATTGGTATCGGGAAAAATAGAAAAATTTGACAATGTCCCGTCCTTTAGGAAGCGGTGGAATGCAATATATAAAGCCAATAAGAAAACGGCTCGTATTTATCGTTTGTTTGAGGACAATGCGAGTACGCCCAGCACGTTAAAAATGCCAAAGAGTTCGCCAAATAAACCTCAAGTGTTTGCCGCCATCGATTTTGAAAGTTCTTTTATCTTTTAATGCATGTAGCATTTGAGCACGATCATTCGCGACTAACAGAGGTCGGGATTTCCCTGTTTGATTCAATTGGAGGAGACTACAGCGGGGTCCATATTTTGATAAAGGAGACGCTTCACCTAAGAAATGGCAGATATGTGGCTGATAACAAGGATAGCTATCGATTCGGTATTTCCGTCATACTTTCCATGTCCGAAGCAAAGGCATGCATGTGGAAATGGCTTGCCAACGCAACCGCCGTCATTGGCCATGGGGTGCAGGAAGAGAGACGGTTGCTCAAAGAGCTACTGACTTCTGAACAGTTTGATCAGCTAACCCGGCAAGCCGATATGTTTGACACGCAGGTTTTGAGGTTGACTGTTGATGTTTTGTTAGGTGCTGTTTAAAGATGCGTTTCCTTGTTCGGCTAGATCTTCTCTTTCACATATACTTGACACCCTTGGAATCCAATATGCACATTTACATAATGCGGGTAATGACGCGCGATATTGTTTGATGGCTTTTCTCAGGCTACAAGGCATCTCTTTCGAGAAAGAAACTAGCGTTACCGGTGAATTGTGTAAAAATTGTGTAATTTCCAACGATTTGTCCAATTAAATTGAAATTCTGTACCGAGCCCAGTGCAATTTCCATGTGCAGTAAAGCGACATTTGGCCATGCTGGTCCTTATTCATCGAAAATTTTAATATCTGCCTAATGTGCCATTCGGTACTAGTACTGGGCCATTTTGAAATGTAAAGTTTAATTAGTCGAAAAACCTGCGGGAAGGACATGGTCCAATGAAGGCCTCCTTGAGAGCAGGCAGGCTCTGTTCGGCAAGAAGTTCGAGGCGCTTTTGAAGAGTGTTATTGATCATAACACGGCCCCCTTTACATGTCGCTATGATTCCTCCAGAAGCGAGTGCCGGGAACTGAGACACAGCGCCAACTTGGATTGTCAATTTGCACTCGGTAGATGTTTTTTCTTTGAACTCGACGATGGCGGCAGAAGATATCGCATCCACAAGGGGCTTATCCCTTTCACAACAGTAAACTGTGATATTCCCATCACACAGCGTAAAAAGAACTTGAAGTATCAGTTTTTGTAGCAGCGTGCGATAGGAGGGCGAGGAAATGATTTTCGGAAGCTTCTCCTTTGTCGCTTCAATAACAAGATTTAATTGGTTGTCACGCTCTTGAAGAACCTTCAATCTGGCCTTGTTTTTATGCATTGCTTCGCCGACCTTGAACTGAACTTGGGAGTGTGCCAAGCGCTTTTCAGTGGTCTTTTCGATATTGGTAGCCTCCGCCTTTACCGCTTTGGCCTTTTCAATAAAAAAGTCCTCATCCGCCTTGACTTGGATTTCCCTGTATTTTTCATAAGCCTCTTGACGGATAAATTCAACCATCTTCCTCATCTCCACTTGCACCTGATCATCGGTAAGAGGAGGCATTGGATGGTTTAAAAATTAAAATTTAAGGTTCCTTTGCTAGCCTCATATTGGTTCTTTGTGTTCCCATTGGAGCTAATTTTCTTTGCCATCAGCTCTCATAAATGGCAATTGATCAAGCTGCCAATGTATATAAAGTTCGTGGAAACTAATGGAGCATCAAGGGTTAGCTTACGAATACGTACTTTGGAAAGTAGGGAGATGTAGAAATTTTTGTCGATGCCCCGAATTCAGCCAAGGCTGATGTTAATAACCAAGAGAAGGAGATCCCAGTTCAATTCAGATCCGTAGGGATTAAGACCTTTTCCATTAAACTTCCACCACATGTACGAAAAGCCGATTTACTCGCTAACTGCAAGAAAAGCCAATTTACTTGCTAATTTCACAAAAATATTGGTTTGATTCGTAATAAGTGTCTTTTTATTTATATGATATTGTTAGCTGGATCAAAGCACATGGGGCTTGAGAAACTCAAATAACGCTACATAAATTTAAAGCCGGCATGATTTACCTGAACCAACGACCACAAATAGGAAGAAGATTGTGAGACCAATTCCAACATTATATCCCTTGGATTTGTCCCTCTATATGAATCAAATGAAAACAGTCTCTTACTTTTTGATGGGCTTTCTTTGGTTTTCCTGCTGGGGTTTTCATTGTTGATTTGAGCATGTTGAGGCTAGTTGGGACTTTTGGATGTTTTTTAAAGTTGCAAATTTGATTAAATGCTTTAAAATCACCAATTTATCACACATAAACAACTGATAATTTAGAAATCTAAAAGCCCGAGGAATAATTACTCAAAAGGATAGCATGCTCTTTTCCTTGGTACACCCTTAATCAGAAAATCGACACTGAAAAAATAGGGTAAAATTGGCAGAAATTTATTTATCAGAAAGGACTCCCAGATATGCAATGGCAATAAAGGATATTCCAACCGAGGCAATATAATTACTAGGATCAAAATAAAGTTGGCTTACTAGGTTGCATTGAGATGCAGAAAGGGCCCATTTGATAAAAAGTGGAAAAGTGGCACGAAAATTAGATTCAATACAAAAATGGAATATGACAATGCCTGTTTTTCCAGCTCGGATTCAAGCATGCTCGTTTGCTTTTTAGAAGAGGCCGCGGTTGCGGTGCCATCAACAATAGCTACCGCTGTTAATCTAGCCATAAAAACAATCAAAACGGTACTTTTTTAATTTTGATGCCGAGGCCATCTCGAGAAACTGCTTATATATAAACGTGAAAAGCAAATATAGCCCCACATGCAGGAAAAGATTGGTGGAAGATTTCTTTATAAAGACGAATACAACTAACAAAATAAGCATTTTTAAAGAAGGGCATACATAATGGGATCAAATTAACGATAAATGACGCAGGAAAAATAATCCGTGAAGAAAAGTTGCCAGTTGATGCCATGATGATCAATAAATTTGTAAAATTAAAGGGAAGATTTGTGATACAAACCCAAATTTAAATTGAAGTAAATGTGCAAACCCCGCTTCAATGTAATATGTGCACGCAGATGGGTTTGGCTTATTAGTCCATTGCTAGCGATGATAACCTATTGGGCGTACATCAGATATTATTACAAGCAGGTAATAAAATACGGATCCATATCCAAAAGATTTAATTTTAAATTTCACCCATATTCAGGGCAGACGCATAAAGTAGGTACTTCAATCCAAAGGACATAAATGTGCCTGTAAGGAAGCCTAACGATTGGATTCCCACCATCCATGTTGTCACGCGCTTTCTACTTTTTGCAGACTCGAATGAGGGGGGAATTTTCATCAACATCACTGTGGTGATAGAGCCTGAAGAGCATCCGAAAAGAAAGATCAGCACAAAATAAAGGAAATCAGATGCGTACAGAGAAGGGAGCATGGAAAACTTCAAATTTGGGCTCAAAATCGGAGAAATATTGCCAGATAGCAAAAGACCAACCAAAAAAAACCTGAAAATAGCAATAGAGCTCCAGAAAGAGGTGGGTATATTAGAGAAAAACCTCCATTTTAGCGCAAGCCGTCCTGCAAAATCAAAAATAGACATGATGAAAAGGCAAAAGAGCGGGAAAACTTGTTCGCTCACCAAAATATTTTGGGACGGGGAGGATGATGCGGTCAAATAAAGAATGTTGGGGACGACCAATGCAATTTGAAAAGATACAATAAACAGGCAGAAAAATTTCCACCAAACTTTACCCAGGAGAGATTTGAGCGGAACGTCATCTGCTTTTGAATAGGCCGCTATTGATGACGAATTTTCAGCTTGATCTTTGGCCTGCTTTTTCGAGTTGGAAAGACGTTCTACGCTATTGCGTATGTAATAAAACGAAATCGTTGCCAATGTGCAGACAATAGTGGCCAAGATAAAGTAAAACGACGCATCTGAGTGTGAGGGGGAGCCCGGAGTTCTTGGGAAAAGTAGAGCAGAACCCAGTCGCATTCCAGAGGTAAGTACAGATGCAACTCCAAACCCAATGGACATCATTCGCACGTATGAGTTTGAGGGCAGATCTGAAATAAATCTGAACACGCCCAAATATGCGGTGAGCGCAAAAAACGAAGATGCGCCAGAAACTATTATGCTGATGGTCATAAATAGAGGCACCGATGGGATATCAACAATGGAAAGCAGGAACAGCAAGACGAAGCAAATCACGGTTCCAATAGAGGATGAAATGACAAGAGAAAACGGGGACATTAGTGTATGGAGATACGAAGAAACAAAAAGCATGAAAAATCTAACTGAGACGAAGGTCATGATGAGATAATCGAAGATAAACCTAGAAGTTGAGCCGCTCTTTGAAGCGAAAAAATGACAGGTTCCCATTAGCGAGTTCCACGAAAACAGCAAAGAAAATGCATTAAGAAACAGTGTCCAGTGGACCAAGCGGGAATCTGACATAAAAAAAGCTTGTAAGATATATGAAGTTTATTAATAAACATGTTAAATGCTTGATGTGTTTCATTGGAGCGAAAGGCTTTGCACCCTCAGTTTTAATGGCTAACTAAAATGACAGCCCCTCAACTCAACGTTAAGTTGAAAAGTCCATCAAAACATTTTAAAATTAAATATTAAAAGTCAAATGAATTTATAAACACAGAAAATTTGATCAATTGGATTGGATGGGGAAATACCTTGCCCATGTAAGTTAAAGATTGAAATTCACGGTTAAGGTCCGCTATCTAGCTTTGAGATGGAAATCGAGATTTATATGCCAGCCATCGGAGTATTAAAAGCAAAAATTCTAGCTGATTTTCGGGGAACAATGAGGGTTCCTCGCCTGTGGTCACCGTATGATTTTCAGACAAATTTTCCACAAAATGTTGGGCCTCTGCATGTTTCTCTTGAGTTTCCTTTTGATTAGAGTTTGAACGATTTAGATTTACTTCGGGATGTTCAGAGCTCGGAGTTTCAAGCGGGGCTTCCTCATCCAACATTTCAGGACCGCCTGTTTTTAGAATTTTTTTTTTATATGCTTCTTTCCGTTCTTTAATCCACTCTTCTATTTCTTCAGGCCTTTTAATAAAGACTTGAAAGATTACCTGTATATTGCTGCCGTGCCTTTCGATGGTGTGCATGCTAAGCTCTTGCTTTTGAGCTTCTTTCTCGCAGGTGCCTGCTGACAAACGGCATGGTGGCTCTCGTCAAAGTCATAAGTCAACAGAGGTCTCTTTCTATCACAGGAGGGACACTGCGTTGCATGTATTTGTTGTGATTGGACCATAAGACCCCTACATGCGGGACACGTGGCCACCTTGGACATATATTAATTTCTATCTTTAAAATTAATTCAATTTGCCTACATTTATGACTTAAATTGCCATATTGGATGCCTATTGGCCTACATATAAAGTCCAAGGAACCAATAGATTTCAAGCGATGAATTCCCTCTATAAATTCAGATTAGATTACAAATTTTTTATAGCGATGGAAAAAATACAGCAGGCTCTTTCCGAATACTCCGATTATGTTCTCCCTGGGCTATTGGTCCTTTTACTTCTGATGGTCCTTGCAACCATACGATGCAAATGTTGCAAAACAAAGTGTTGTACAAAATCGACAGATTGCAGAAAAGATTCTTCTTGCCAACCAAATGGAGGAAAAAAAACCGAGTAACTTCAATTGAATAAATAAATTTGGATAAACTAGCTAAAGAGGAGATAAATCTGCGCAAAGTTATACTAAGGGTAATGGGCACCATTTGGGGAAGAGATATATCTTCCCAGCAGAGACATCGGCGTCCATAATTCAACGCTGTGCGCCAATTTGAACGAGTCGGTTATCTTCTGGATGGAATCAATCAAATCAAAAACAGAGTTTAGCTTTGAATCGACGAATGTACAAAAGTTTTCTTCAATGATCACGGAAAACGAGGAAATTATCCAGTTTACAAAATCAACTTCATATAACGTCAGCACCAATGGAGGCCTAAACTGTCCATTTAAATGCGGGTACATTCGATTTAGTTCTTCCTTTGTTTCCTCGATAAGGGTTTCAATATCTAAATCGCTGGATACTTGAAGACTTGGATCAATAAATTTTGGTTCATAAGATGCCCTTTTAGCGGAAAAATAGCCGACTTCCTTGTTGTAAAACGAAGTAACGCCATCAATATTGCACTCAGAGAGGGGATTTGAAAATAAAATGGCAAATTCGTGTATCGTTCCAACCAGTATGTCTATTTATAAAACAAGAATGGGAACTTGCTTTGGAAATGCGGCGATATGTCCGCTTTTGACGAGATTGCTCGAAGTGCGGCCAAAAGGGACTCGAAAGACTCAGTGGAAAGAAATACGTTCCAAGAATTGATGTCTCTTTTGTATTTCTTGCCTTCTATTGAATGCTTCTGCAAAAGAGAATTGTTGGAGGCCTGTAGACACAAAACTTCAGCCTTCAACGAAAAGATCTCTGATTGGAGCTGCTCGGTCAGCTTTTTTTTCTCAGCTTCATGCGTTTTATTAATGCTAATTGAGTGAATGCGAAGCTGGTCGTTTTCGTCATGAAGCTATTGGTTATTAAAAAGCTCCCAAGTACTTTGGAAAGGTGTTCCCTCAGAATTTTATTCTCACCCACCAGGCGAAAAGACATGTCCTTGTTAGCAGGACAATTATTCTTATCGTCAAGGCTAGGATTGCTGTCGGCATTAGCAATGGAGCGGTCGATGTTCTGAAACTCTTCAATCGAAAGCGACCCGAAAAATGCATCGTCATCCTCAAAGGGGTCCACCACATTCTTCATTCGACAAATTTTATAAAATTTAAGCTTCCAATGCCGCGAGAATTGATCACCATACAGGCTGGCCAATGCGGAAATCAAGGAACGCTAACGGTTTTCATAATCTTTAGTTGGCTTAGAATATTGGAAGCAACTTGCGTTTGAGCATGGAATCAATGCAGATGGTACTCTTTGCACAGAGTCTCCTGTTGTCTCTTCCTCCCAGACCACAACATCCCCATTTGCCTCCCCAAATGTCGTAGATAGAAAGGATATATTTTTTTATCAAGTAAAACGGATTTTTAATTGCAGGCTGACGATGAGCATTTCATCCCGAGATCTGTGTTGATCGATTTGGAGCCAAGGGTAGGTTGAAGCTATTAAGTCAAATAGGTCATCAATTCGATATTGGCATCTTCGCACGGACGCTTGTTTAATCCAGAAAACATATTCATGAGCACTGAAGGTGGAGGTGCTGGGAATAACTGGGCCTTTGGATACTCTGAGGGTGTCCGTGTCAAAGACGAACTGCTGGAAATGCTTGACAGGGAAGCCGAGTCTAGCGATTCGTTGGAGGTAGCGTTGTGCTAAAGAATTTCATATCCTTCATCCTGCATCCTCAACCCTCAACCACATTTTCAATGTAAATGCTCTTACTTATAGGGATTTGTTTTGGTGCATTCTATTGCCGGCGGCACGGGCTCTGGCCTTGGCTCTTGTCTGCTGGAGCAGTTAAATGAATTCTACCCTAAAAAGGTGATTCAGACATATTCTGTATTTCCAAATTCAGAAGAGGTACTGCTTCATTGGCTCAATGTAGGTCTCCGACATTGTCGTGCAGCCCTACAATTCATTGCTCTCTTTGAAGAGGCTGTGCAACCTAACGGACTCCGTGGTAGATTGTTGTTTGTCGATTTTAGATCGTCTTTGATAATGCGGCACTAACGAGAATAGCCTCTGATCGCCTTCGCATTTTGGACCCCTCTTTTCTTCAGACAAACCAATTGGTATCTTCATATCAATGAGATTTATAATAGCTGGCAACCGTCATGGCTGCGAGTAGTGCTACACTTCGCTTTCCCGGGCCAATGTACAATGACCTCGGTTCGATTTTGTCATCCCTGATACCGCTTCCAAAGTGCCATTTCCTTTCGACCTCGTATACTCCCTTTTATTCTGAAAATGTAATGCTAACCCAAAAATTCACTGTTTTAGAGCAGGATACCAGCGACCACCAATTCCAAGACCTCCATTCACGATGTTCTTCGTCGTTTATTACAGCCCAAGAATAGCATGATGAGCTATTCATCTACCGCAGCCAATGGGAATCTATATCTTTCTGCCCTTGCCGTTCTTAGAGGAAATAGGGTAGATACAGGTCAGGTCTTTAAGTCGCTTCTTCGAGTGAAAGAGCGCGAACTGATCAAGTTTGCCGAATGGACGCCTACCACGCTACAAGTGGCGCTTTCTAACCAAAACTTTTCATCCATCCTTTCCGGATTACTTCTTGCGAATAATACAGGAGTGGCCAGCGTCTTTCAACGGACAATTGACCAGTATGACAGGCTTCGAAAAAGAAATGCCTTCCTCGATATCTATAAACGCGAAAAGTCGTTCTGTGATATTTTGGACGAGGAATTCGACAGTTCCAGGGAAACCATCCAATCGACAATCAATGAATACAAGGCTGCCGAGAGTGTCAATTATCTCCAGTCACTAAATGGAACAGCAATCGAGTCCAGCAATGCGTCAGATATACAAGCCCCAAATACTTCTATCATTTGTCCTTAATAAAGAGGTTCGGTCCCCCAATAAAGCCTTTTCTACTCGGGAGCACGCTGCATTTGAAATTTCACACATCAGCGAATTAGGCCCAAGCTCATCCTTATTGCAATTGCTTTTCTCTACTAGGTTTAATTATATTACATTCGAGGGCGGAAAAAAATCACGAAGAGCGCCAGGGATCATCGATTGGAGAGGGTGTCCACACAGCTGAAGAGTCGCAAGTCGGAAACTGCTCCGGAAAATAGGATGCAGATGTCTCTTCAACCAACGAAGGGGAATTGGAATACAAACTGTTTCTATCGAAAGAACTACGGCTGGCCGGATCATCTTCATTGTTCAATGAAAGGTCAGACAACTCAACCGACCAGCCGTCATCTTCGGCAAAATTGTCTCTAGATCCGGGACGTATGTATAGGGCCCTCTCGCCCCTAAAAGTAGAGATGGCTTCTTGACTATAAGACTGGGGCATTCCGTAGTAATCTGAATGGCTTTCTACCTCGCGATGCTCGTTTGAAGCTATAGAATGCCTTTTAGACAACGGTATGTGGACCGCATCGTTAATGACGCAAAGCCACTCGCTTGTAGTAGGGTTATTTGCAACGGGAACTGCTCGCAATTCCAACGAGTGAAAAGCAGAAGATGCGGTGGCTACCTTTAGAAGAAGCGTATTTGAGGAACTTGTCACCAAGGCGGACACAATAAAATTTTCTTTTCGCTCCCCTTTCTCCTGCATGGAGAAAGATAAGGTTCCAGGGGGGAAGGCTAGCTGTGCACAGAAGGAATTAAAACGCGGAACAGCGAAGGAACTGGTCGTCTGGTATTCCGGATAAAAATATTTTCCCAGTAAATAGGAAGAAACCAGCGAAGGTAGTTGGGGATTGTTCCACTTTTGAAAAGAGGAAACCGGCTTGAAAGAGGATAAAGGCTCTTGTTCTTGGTTGAGAATGGATGAAATCACACACTTATCTAACGGTATAATATGTAGATATGAGCTGAAATCTGAGGGGGTCTGTGTAAGAACCACAAACGAGATGGGCCACCCCGTTGTGAAGAGAGATGACTTTTTTAGCTTGAGAAACCCGCTCAAGACGACTTTGGAATCCCCAAAATCCATCGATGACTTCTCAATGTGGTCTTTAGAATAGTTACACGATTTTAAGTGCGAAATGTATTTAAATTTCGTGTCAGAGGCTGCCAAGTCTGAAGCAGACGTTATTACGGAAAGAAGCTCCTCCAGAAACGCATCTTCAGATCGAAGATGATTTCTACGTTCCGATGCCATTTGGATAAGAGAGGAAGTAAAAAAAATCGCGATTTCTTTCACTGGATCAATTAATTCCTGCTGAGCTTGATCGGATATTTTTCTTTGTTCTGCCTCGACCTGGTGTCTCCAGGAAACAAGCTTGGAATTGAAGGAGTTCCTTGTCATCGGGTCCTCCAAGCAAACGAGGTCTGCTCTCGAAGTTGATGACGAAAAAGAAGATGATAAGTCTGTTGATAGCGATGATAGCTGACCATATGTTGCTTCTGAAATCTTTCGGATCGAATCCCAAGCACTTGATTCTTTTTCAATCGTCTCAATGATACGCATTGATTCGACCAGCCCATGGGCATTGGCCTCGTGGACGGTTATGCTTTTTTGGATAAATCTGAAAATTGCATTTGAAGCCATATGTAATGCCCTGTATCCGCTTCCAAAGAAAGGCTCCTTGGATKGATCTTTACTCTCAAGAGGAAACATCGAGGAGATCTTTGCCCACGACTCTTCGCATTCCTTTACCTTTACAAGCAATGAAGAAATATTTGTCAAAAATGCGAGAAGTTCTTTGGGGAGGGCCTTAAACTCCATCCATTCTTCGTCTGTTTTGTTGGTGGCCATTGTTAGAATGGAGGTAAATATTGTAAAGGCAAAGGGTGTGGGAATAAAAATGTTATTTTTACATTTTAGAATTTAATAAAATCAAAAACTTTCAACAGAGCCACAAAGCCAACAATGAAAATAATCAATAGCACGGAGTACACAATGTAATTGATAGACATACGCTTTATCCATATATTCTTTTCAGCTTTTTTTGCTCTCTTCCTAAAGACGCTGGTCTTTCTTTCGAGGTCAACTATTGTTTAACAAAAATACTTAATACCTGACTGCTGTTGGAGATTCTCAAGCTCTGGACCTCTTTCTACGAGAGATTTAAGATTATCGAGCATCGTATTTTTGGTATCAGCCAAGCTTTCCTTTATGACGGAAAGCTTCTCTTTATCTTCATCATGGGTGGAAGATAGCGGTGCTTCAAATGATGAGGAGGCGAGTGGTGTTTCACATGGCGAGGAAGAGGGTGTCAGAATGCTTCCATTCCCAGGAGCTAATGTCACAATCTTGGATAATGGACGAACAAGCCTAACTGGTGTTGGGGCTTGAAACGTCTCATTTTCTTTTTCCTGCTCGTTGTAAATACCCCTTTTTCGAAAGGCCAATGTGAGCTCATCCATGTCCACAGCGAAGAAAGGCTTGATTTTAGAGTCATTGAGATGGAGTTCGTGATATTCTGTAGGTTCCTCCWAGGGCTGTTCACTGTGAAGGGTTGATAATAAAGTATGATGCGCGTTTGAGGTATGAGCCTCATGGGTTGGGTCGATAGTTTCCATTTCTGGACGTTCATTAGATGGATCTGCCGGCTCCACTTCCGAAGTTATTTGAGGTGCAAATTCAATGTCAATAATAGTGTCCGAAGCAAGGGCATCAGTGTGGCCATCTGGGTTATTTGTATCGCTTGGTACCATTTTCATCAAGAAAAAAATGCGGACTTCATTTTGTTTTTGCAAGCTCTCCGCATTTGATTGGTAGGGCTAATTAATTTTTATTTTGTGCCTTTGTTAAAATTTAACTGGACCTGCAAGGGAGAAGGCCAATTGGCGAATAGATGTCCAATAAGCACACACGATGGACTCAAATGCACCATTTTCATGTGTGAGATTTTTGGGGTCGCAAAGTTCCACTTCAAATTCATGGGTCATTGGCTCTGAGGTATTTGAAGTTACCTGGGTCAGGTCACAAATGAGGAAGGCAGTTGGATGGGGTATGGCTTGTTGGTGCAAGCTATATGAAACTCTGTTCTTGATGCGTTCATACTTTGGGGATCTTTTAGTGACCTCCTTTTCAGAGAGCAACGCAGGTTTTTCCACACTCACTGAAATCCGAATGTCAAAGGGGGAATTTGGAAAGTGGACATGCATATCTGCTATTCTCTCTTTGATGACGGAACAGAGTATTTTCCCGGTGGCCTCGTCAGTAGTGACTCTTATATTCCCAGTATCTCCATGGTAGAATCTATCGACAATCCTATGCCGCTGGTACGAGAGGTATGCACCTGTTTTAGATGCAGACGCTTCGACCTCTTTGTTTAGGATAGAATTCAATGCCGAGTGGAGATGAGGAGACATATCCGATTGGAATTTAATATATTTGGATTCCTTGATAACAGTCTCCGTTAGTATGGGGAGTGAGATGCGAGCGTTTGTATTTTTGTCAATGATAGTTCCAAATTTTGCCTCTATCTAAAGTGAAAATTTGGATGGCGGTACCTCTAACCCGTCTGTTGAAAGCTTTTTTGACCGCAAAAAGGACACCAATGCAAGGACACACCCGTCAAAGGAAGGGGTGCGTGTAGCAAAGATCAAGGGTAAAGATGCCGCCATGGAAATTATAATTTAGCTTTTACAAATTTATTTTGCTATCGTGGGAATTTGGGTGTATGAACACTACCGAAGCAGCAGCAAAACTAGAAAGTTAGTAAGACGCATTAAGCCTACATGATATCAGTGCAGATAGGACCATCAGAATCAGGGCAAGAAAGATGTACGAGCGGTAACGAAGCCATCTTGTGGTTTTCTTCGTTGCCTCGCTTTTTACCAGAAATACGCTGGTTTGGGCCTCAAGGTCATCTAAATGGTCAATAAAAAGGATAAAAAGCCATACGGGCACGATCGGAAAGCTCTCCAAGTTGCGTCTCTCTATTGATAGTCTTTTCCACATTCTCATTCATGATTTCCTTTGCATTTTCTAAATCCAGTGCAATTTCACGCAAATAATCGGACCCATCGTCAGATCCATCGATTTTGACTCTTTTTTGTGATAGCTCTTCATCAACAACGTCGTGCACATATTGGGGGGAGTGCCTCCCAGTGTTGAGGGGGGCAGGGCTCGTTTTTGCATGACCCTGTTCCATCGAATCAGCAGGATCGACCCCTAAAGCATCGGGTTTTAGCTCCATTGCAATCAAAAATTCTTCTCGCAAAGTTGAAATTATGTGTTTAGGGACTGGCTATGCCTCATATGCAATTGATGGAAACACAAAATTTCATTTTGAAGTCTAATTTTTTATTTGTCTTCCCAATTTTAAACAGCAAGATTCGATTGGTCTAAATTGGCGCCTCACCGTCTAGATGATGCAATTTTGAATATGACCGCAAGTCTATTTCAACGATAGGCCTAAATTGATAGCGCTCTATAAATTGAAAGGTTAGGGTTGCATACCTTCTCTGTGCATATATTCAATGTCTTGAAAATTGTCTGGATTCTCTTTATCTAGCCAACTTAACGAGTTGAAGGAGGGTTTGATCGAGGAGATGGAGTGCTTCAGCAGTGAAGAACTCTTAACAGCAGCCGGTATCTTTGAGGAGAAGGCCGATTTTGCACCGACTGGGGAATTTGTCTTGTCCCTCAAAATGGACTCCATGGCGAGGTTGGTGAAACTGAAAGTAAAATTAAATTTTTGTCACAATTGGGAACCATATTTACGCTTTGAAGTGTTAATTTACTGGATTCAATTTAAATTAAACATCCATCGAGTGGTCAGGGGAAAGTTCGGAAACAGCTCCATCATGAAGAACAGCGATGGGATTGATCCTGAACTCTGAGAGCTGATAGAAAAATACTTTCAACAATTTAGCCTGGTCGCTGGTCAGGACGTCACCCTGCTGGCAAATCGTATAGGGCGCATCGAGGATCAAGAAACCGCCTTTTAGCAAAACGGGCATTCCGGCATTTCTCAGCTGGCTTTCAAAGGTGTGCGATAGAAACTCCTCGTTTCTGGAAACCGTTCCCACTGGGATGGTGACGCTTTCTGTGGCAATGGCGCCGGCACGAGCATAGTCTACGTGGACCGCTTGCTTACAATAGCTTTGAAAGACTTTTGGATCCTTATCGGTCATCAGTAGCCCAACATTATTTCCCACCAAATACTACAAGTTAACGGGCAAAGCTGCAAACCTTTCCAAGACGGTACGAGTCCTCAATTGCCGAGTCAGAAGGAGTCGATCCAAGCGCCTTTACCAAAACTTTGTTCTTGCCAAAAAATATCCTAGCCACGGTGAGCGTGAAGCGGTTACCTTGAGCCTGAATATTCGCTTCTGAATTCCTTGAGAAATGAATTTCGCATATTCTGCACGGAAAATACATATGCATATGGATACTCTTTCAACGAATCCTGTACTCTAGACACCAGAGAAGCCTTTGAATCCTTGGTTTTCTTTTGCGAACTGGTAAACTGGTCTACAAAGTAAGCATGTTGCGATGGGAAGTACATTTCAATGCTTTCTTGGTCCTAACCATTGCGAAAATTTTAAACTTTCAATTTAAATTTAATTCCAATTGCCATGTAAGCACTTGCATGGGGAGGAGGCCATGCCTATAATTTATTTGAAGAAATAAAAATTAATCCGAAACTGTAAATCAGATTTTGTGCCGGTTCTTGGTGCAACCTGATTTTCAGACAACTGGATCAGCCTAGGAATGTTGCTGAATAAAAATACATCACTGGATTGCGAGAAACCCGCAAGCCTGCCTTTTCGGTATAAATCGAGCTTGAAGGCAGTAGTAACCTGATTTCGCTCTCCCGAAAGAGAACATGCCGCTTATTTCTGGATTAGACAAGGAATCTACGGAAAATGTTTGATTTGGAAATTTGACGCAGATAGGTTCTATCAAAGATGGACAAGTGATACATAAGTTCAGATTTCGAAAATCCAATTGCCGCAGATGCCGCTTGTAATAGAGCATCAAAGTCACAGCTTTGGAATATGGTGTCTGCACCATATGTTTCGGAGTCTCCCCTCTTATAAAGACCCGGGATTAACGGATAGTGCCGCCCATGCCTCCAAGAGCTGTAGTCAACGGTTTTTTGCCATGAAATTGAAATGTTCTGATCATTTTGAGTATCGTTGAAATTTTTTTGACTCAACGTTAGCAAGGCATTAGGATGTTCCGGAAATTCTCCGATCGATGGAACATTGAAAGTTGGAAATTTTTCCCCAATCGTTGCCTCTGCACTATTTTCAAAAGGAAGAGGTGGGATGTTAATCTCATTCGCCACTTGAAGGGGCTGCAGCACGGATGCAGTTGAGGAGATTGCTTGTACAAATCCATTTAATTGGTCTACATTGGCAATGGAGAACATATATTCCGGAAGCAAAATGTCCTTTTTGCTGTTGAGATACCATTGTTCCTTTAAAGCCGAAAACGGGGGAAGAGCATCCGATAGCGATACTAAAGATGGGTCCCCGCTAATTTCCTGCTTCAAGTTGACCTTGGAGCGCGATACCAAAGGCTTTGTATAGATAGACATATGCACATCATACAGGAGGCGAATTGCACTAATGAGCGGGATGGCCGCTTTGATTGATGGTACAGTAAAGTCGCGGTTATATTTTTCTAGCGCATTTTCAAACGATAGAATTTCGACAAGCAAAAGTGCTGCATGTATAACTTGCACTAAAACATCAGCGATTCGTTAAAGTTACCGGGAAGCGATAGCTTCAGCCCTAACGAGACAAGGTATGTTGGAAGCGGAAAGCCAAATTCAAACTGATCCGCGAAAAGCGTGCAAAGTTGAAAGACCATATTTTCCAGGTCTTTGGCGGTGGGAAGCGAACTGGGAATAAACACAATGTGATACGACGAATGCAGCAAATGGCTCAACCTAAGCTCTTTTGGCAGCATGTTAAAAGCATTAAAGTATGGAACTTTTCCTGTGGACATTCACTGAATCATATCCTGCCCCAAAATCGATAGCTGACATTTCCAGCATCCAAAAAGAAGAATCGCAGGAAGAATTTGAGTTGAAAAAAAAACGGCCCTCCTAACTTGTTTCATCTCTTCGAGCTTCTGATCACAGCAAAAAAAGGAATTTTCCTCCAAGGCCTTCACATACTGCAGCCATGTATTTTTCACATGACTTTCCAGAACGGTTACGCCGTCGGCAAGTTTTAGCAGACGCTGAAGAGAGGAAAGTTGTAGGAGAAGCATGCTCTGGAAAATGGCAATCACAAAATGTGGATCAGAATAGGAAGGTCCGTGCGCAAATTTACTTTGCTTAGCCGATTTGTGTGATTTCAGTTGAGGACTACAGCCGCCAAGAAGGCCCTTATTGACGGTACGCCCAAATAAAAGCACATTCGGTTGCATTTCGGAAGCATCTGCCACCTCTTCCATGTAAAACTAATGCATAAATTTTGTGAAGAAAACCATGGATTCATGGCCATTGCTGCAATACATGATGCCATCCCCTTTTGTATATCGCGTCGACCTGCATTGCGGACATGGATCATAAATAGCCAAGGGCTTCTTCCTTGTGGGCATTAAACTTTAATTTAAATTTGGGAAAGCATCCAATTAAGTCATTTACTGCTCATCATCAGACAAAGGATGCCCCAAAGGCGGTAAGAGCCTCTCTAAGTTTTTTGGTGGTAGTCTCTGAAAGAGAATTTTCCCTTCTAATGCTTTCAAATATATCTGGATGATTCTCCAACAGGTGGGGAATCAGTCTCGCCTCGTAAGCAGTGACGCGCTTCGAATCAAGCTTGTCAAGAAAGCCGTTCACCCCGCAAAATATGATCACAACTTGTTGCTCGACCGGGATCGGGCGATATTGCGGCTGCTTAAGTAGTTCCGTTAGCCTTGCACCACGGTTCAAAAGAAACTGCGTAGAAGCATCCAAGTCGGAGCCGAACTGAGCAAAGGCAGCCACCTCTCGATATTGGGCCAAAAAGAGTTTGAGGGATCCGGCCACCTGCTTCATGGCTTTTATTTGAGCAGCTGAACCGACTCTGCTTACAGAGAGACCGACATTGATGGCCGGACGGATGCCTTTAAAAAAGAGCTCTGCTTCTAGAAAGATTTGGCCATCCGTAATGGAAATGACATTGGTCGGAATGTACGCAGAGACATCCCCACCTTGGGTTTCAATGATCGGAAGGGCCGTCAGCGAACCACTTCCAAAAGCTTTTGACATTTTTGCGGCCCTCTCTAGCAAACGCGAGTGGAGATAAAAGACGTCACCAGGATATGCCTCCCGTCCAGGGGGGCGTCTCAATAAAAGAGACATCTGGCGATATGCAACCGCTTGTTTAGAAAGATCGTCATAAACAATCAATGCATGCTTTTTGTTGTCGCGAAAGTATTCACCCATGGCGCATCCGGTGTATGGCGCCAGGTATTGCAAGGGAGCTGCCTCAGACGCTGTTGCCGCAACGATGATAGTATACTTGAGTGCGTCGTTTTCCTCAAGCTTCTGTACGAATTGGGCTACCGTTGATCGCTTTTGACCAATGGCGACATAAACACAATAGAGTTTCTTCGACTCGTCCGCCTGGTCATTCCAGTTCTTCTGGTTGATGATGGTGTCAAGAGCAATGGCTGTCTTTCCAGTTTGGCGATCCCCGATGATCAGCTCGCGCTGACCCCGGCCGATTGGTACCATGGAGTCGATGGATTTGATCCCTGTCTGCATGGGCTCTCTTACAGACTCTCTGGGAATAATTCCAGGCGCTTTGACAGAAACGCGCTGGCGAGTGACATTTTTTAATGGCCCCTAGCGGCGGTTTACTTTGCTCAAAAATTACCTTGCCATCGATGGGGTTTCCCAAAGCATCAACCACTCGACCAAGTAGACCCTCGCCCGTGGGCACATCCACTATATTGCCTGTGCGCTTTACAATATCCCCTTCTTTTATCTGACGATCGTTTCCGAAAATCACAATGCCGACATTGTCAGCCTCCAAATTCAAAGCCATTCCCTGCAAAGGTAATCTTTTTGAAGGATACCTGAACTCCGCCCRAAAATTCAACCATCTCTTCTGCCTGCACATTCTTTAAACCATAGACACGAACGATTCCGTCGCCAATAGAAAGGACTCTACCGGTTTCCTGGATGTCGATCGACCCTCCTATGCCAAGGATCTTTTCCTCCAAGATAGAAGAGACCTCTGACGTGCCTAGCGGCAAGAACAGTACATATTACTATACCTGCTTTAGCAGCTGATGCGTACCACAGCCTTGAGGCCACGGGATTTAAAATTCGACAAATTCGCCCATAAAGAAGTGGCTTAATCATTCAAGATAATGCTGATGATTTTCTTGGAAAAAAACTTCCTAATCAAATTGATTGCTGGAATCGCAAAAAGTAATGCAATTAAATTTTATTTATTTTGCAGTAATAAAATTCTTTTCATTTTGGCTCAAGATATCGAGATTCGCAATGCTTCCATTTTCCCCGAATCGATAGGTGACTTCGCCGGGATCTATCCAAATAGTGAGCTCTGTTGGAAACATTGAAATTTCAAAGGAACACCGCCTGGCAGCCTCTTGTAGGATTGGGTCCACATAACTACAGCTAACCATCAGCGAGCGAAAGGCATTTCCCTTGATGGGATTGCTTACATCCCAGTGTGTTGCGAATTTGGAGCAGAGTAAATCTATGAGCGACTCTTGAAAGGCGTCTATTTGAACTGTGGAGCAGTTTGAAAGCACCGGCCTTAGAATGGTGCTCAAAAAGCTTATTGCAGAATGGATCTCCTTTATCATGAAGAGAGAAAGATAATTGAATGAAATTTGATCTATCGATCAGCCTTTAACTCAAATCAACGGATGAAACTTTAATCACCAATTCCCAAGCCCTGATTGGTCCCAATTTTCTATTGGTGTCAGTTTATAAAATTTAAATTGCAATACCAATGACAATTCCTCAATATATATGAGCATTGAGGATTGTCCTACCCGCAAAAGCTACGTACACTTTGAACTGTTCCAAATAAAAGGGCTAAAACATTACCGCAGACATTTTTATGCAGACATCTCGGGTCAAACGAGAGGGGGCCGTGGTTTTGTCAAGTTTAATTAGTGGATTCTATAAATTTTATGTGAGTGGATTAATTGCTAGAGCAGTCTATGTTAATGGTAGCACAATAATGGACTACAGGGCGTTTTTCTTTTCAAGCAGGCTTTTAAGATAGTATTCGCCCGCTTTGTATGATGATCTGACGAGCGGGCCGGAGGCAACGTAGGAAAACCCCAAACTCTGGCCCTTTTCTTGCCAGTAGGCAAATGTTTCAGGGTGAACATATGCCTCTACCTTTAAATGCCGTTTTGTGGGTCTCATATATTGACCAATGGTCAGGGCATCAACGCCTGCACTCCGTAAATCTAAATTTATCAGGGCCCAGCGAAAAAGTACCTTTCATCGTTTGAAGAATTTCTTCAGGCTGTTCGCCCAGGCCCAGCATGATGGCGGATTTTGTGAGAAGATTTTCAGAACGGCTTTGCTTTGCAAATTCTAACAAACGAAGTGATTGCCTGTACCCGGCACGCCTATCTCTGACAAATGGGGTTAAGCGCTCAACTGTTTCCAGATTGTGAGCAAAGACATTTAAAGGTGCCAGGATCACTACCTTGGCATCGAAAAGCGAGCCTTGGAAGTCACCTGTAAGGGCTTCTATCAAAATTTCTGGCTTTCGTTCCTTCAGAAGCGAGATTGTCTTTGCAAAATGCAGTGCCCCGTTATCGGGAAGATCATCGCGATCAACCGAAGTAAGGACAATGTAATCAACTCCCCACTTGCAGATTGCATCTGCAGTACGATCCGGTTCATTTACATCGAGGGGCGCGGGTGTTTTTGATGTCTTTACAGAACAAAAGCGGCATCCACGCGTGCACGTATCTCCCATAAGCATAATGGTTGCTGTCGAGGGGCTAGCCTTTTTTCCATCGCCAGAAGAGCCTGACCAGCATGTGCCGATATTTGGACATTTAGCCTCCTGGCAAACCGTATTTAGTTTTAGACTTTCAAGAGAAGTTTTCAATTTTGAGTACCCTGCGCCAATGGGGACCGGGGTTTTTATCCACGGCGGAATTCTTTCCGGGCTCCAGTGCGGAACCAGTTGCGGAGCAACTTGCGCGTTCGCGTCATAGTACTGGCCGGATTCCAAATTCTGTCCCTTTTGCTGCCTGAAAGCCAAATTATCGGCAATTAAATTGTTTGTTTCGGTTTGGGAGGCCAAAATATTGACATCCTTGTCAAGAAAATGATCCAAAGAGGGTCCCAACGAAATTCGATGCTTCCATGTGGAAAAGAAGATGCAATGCAATTGATTTATCCCTCTGGCCATTAAAATTAAAAAACAAAATCTCAGTCCTCAATTTGTCCGAGTTTTGGCCAATTATTTAGCATTAGGTTAAATGGAAAATCGGGTCACGATTCCAACCCACAAGCCATATGCGATATACGTACATCCTTTTATATTTAAGCATACTTATTACCGCCTTGAGTTTTTATCCTTCAGTTGGTATGTCAAATAGAGATGCTAAATTTGTAGTTGCTAACACGTCTGAAAAGGAAGCATCGACACCCCCAGGAAAGAACGGGAACAATTTAAATGGAATGCTGCTATACTCTGGAAATGCTAAGGAAGGATTCGATGTTTTAGTCCTCTTGTGTAAACTCGTTGTGGCGGTAGGCGTGCTTTTGGGATTGCTAACTCTTAGTTTGATACCTTTATGGACTCGATTGAAAACGTCTTTAACCTTTTTAAATAGGCAAATGTAAATGGCATATCAATGCATCGCGCACCGGTCGATTATTATATTATAATTTAAATAAAACTTTCCATTATGCAAGTGCAGGCTGCATTTTTTACCTGGTTGTGTGAAATAATGCAGCGATAAATTGGAGAATTTTGCTTTTAATTGCTTCATCTCAGCTGTCATTAGCATAGAATCGACGGCAATATTCAGGCATTTGCATTTATCACATAAATTGAAAGAAAATCAACGATACCAAATAAATAGGCCTGCAACATACGAAAACAAGGGGAAAAAGTCGAACATCAACGTTGCAACCATTGCATAGAAAAGCAAATGTCTATCAACACCAACACCGCCACCACCACCACCACCACCACCACCACTGCCACTAACATCCCAATAGCAGCAGCGGAAAACACACCAATTAAATTGACAGAGAATGGCATCCACACTGCGGCAACGTCATCTCCAATGTCGCCAAGATCGCCCATGACGGTCTCGCCGTCACTTGTTGACACGCCACCGTCAATGGAAGCGAGAATGAAAAGACCCTCGGCAGAAGGCTGCCTGTTCGTTGCAAAGTAAGGGAATTGTTTCGACTGCCGCTTCATAGCCTACCTGCGTTTTTATCAAACGACGAACTGACGGACGAGCTTAGACGCATATTTAAACGATTTGGACCGATCCAAAGTGTGAAGGCCTCAAGAGACATAAAGGGAAGGCCGTTTGGATTTGTGCAGTTTCAAGTACCAACTTATCCCTGATTTGCTTTTCTACATAGGATGCCAGAGAGGCTGTACAAGCTTCAAAAAGTGAGCTTTTCATTGGAAAAAGAAAAATCCGCATAGAAAAGGCAAGATGCCTGCGAAAACTTACAATTACCATCCCAGCCCCCTTTTCGCAAAAGGACGATTGTCGTCTGCTTTTGGCAGAGTGGATAGACCAGTCTGATATTGTGACGGTCGAAGATGATGCATCTCATGTCACCATAGTTGCGAAGCTGAAAGATGACGTTGATTCGGAAGAGGCAGTTTGCGAAATGAAAAAAAGATTTTCCTCGTGGGATATCGAATGGTTCTCAAATCAGACGTACACCCAACTTGACCATGGCCATCTGGGGTTGCTACACTCTCCCCAAAATCTCGGATACTATTTTCCGGCTAATCAGAATTATTCATCTCAATACCCATATTGGATGTCGATATCGATGGCAATGAAGAACATTTCTGCTTCGTCCTCGTCCTCAGCCTCCTCCTCCTCCCCACCGCCGCAGCCGCACCTGCAGCCGCAGCCACAGAACATACACAGAATCCCACATGAGGACATTTACCTTGCCATGGAGAGACTTTCACTTTCGCCTCCACCGCCAATTATCGTCCCAAGCAGAAGCCCACCTGGATTTGAACCAGAGATATTTGTTGGGCGTATGAATCCAGCCCATGCATCTGTAGAAAGCTTGAGAGAAAAATACTCAAAATATGGCGAGATAGAAAGCATCCAGGTCATAAATCGACCGCAAAGTAAGGGTTTATCGTGTCATTTTAGCCACAATTCCGCCACAGGATGCATTTGCATTTGTCCGATTTACTGCTAGAAGTGCTGCCCAGAAAGCAATCAACGAAGAGAATGGAAAGCCTTGGATGGGGCAGATGCAAAGAGTCACCTGGGCACTTACAAGCAGCAAATCAAGAATCATGCAGCCATGGTGGAATAGTTCAGAGATGTGCTGCTATTCTGGGGACCAACAGCAATATCCATGGAATCACCAGCTAATGTCGATGATGATGGTGATGCMAAATAGCAGCAGCTCATTGAATAGCGGCAGACATCAGCCCTAACCCACAATGATATCCATTCAATAAAATATTGCAGAGCATTTATTGGACAAATGACAAGTTGATAATTAATTTTCGGAGTTTAATTTGCCCTTTTAGTAATTATTGAATTTAAAAATTTGATTGGATGCAAAGTTTCCGAAGCAAAATATTCGCTAAAATGCTAGATTTTTTAAATAACTCTTTTGCTTCAATGACGCCCCGAAAACTTCTATTCCTGGTAGCTTTGATTTCCATTTTCATTTCGCTCTCATTTCAACTAAGGAAAAGGGATATACTTTCAGGGGATTTTCTCGAAGATATAAAAGGAAATACAAACGAAATTGATTTATTAAAAGAGGCAATAAAGATCTTGGAGAGAGAGATCTTGGAGAGAGAGATCTTGGAGAGAGAGATCTTGGAGAGAGAGATTGAAAACCAAAAAAAGTCTAAAAAATCTGGCCGTAGGCATAATAGTTCAAAAAACATAAAAGCTAATAATGGCCTCTCGGAATCGACAGATTTCTCTTCTAAAAATCACCTAACCCTTCATACAATCTTAAAAAAGACGCAGACCAGGTTGGAAGAACTTGGGGGAAATAATCAAAGAGAGAATACGAAAGCGTTGAAACCCGAAGAAAATGAACCGTTGAAACCCGAAGAAAATGAATTGGAAGCCCTAAAAAAAGATGTTTTAGCCTCTTTAAAAGCAGCTCAAAATTTTTTTACAGACATAAAATCCTTGCTAAGTGAAGTAAATCTAAAAGATAAAAAACAGTATCTGCAAAAGAAAAAAACCCAGCTCGAATCAAAAGAAAATAATCTAAATATGATAATAGCCCAGATGAACCAAAAAAAAGGGGTTCCAAACGGAAATAATGCTCTAAAAGCTCTAAAAGCTCTAAAAAAATATTTAAACAAACTAAACGGGCAGTTGAGCGCTTTAAAACTACATTTAAGCGGTCTACCCAAAAAGAAACAACTCCCTCAGACAGGTCAACAAGATGCACTTTCCAGGCTTTTTACTTGGGCTCTCAACCTCATAAACCAACCTTTTGCGTTCTGCGCCTCCTTCTATGGGTATGCAAAAACACACGTCGTTGCCTCTGGTCTGCACACCACGGCCGGGATGCTCAAAATGATCGTTCCTCTGCTTTACACATGGGCCGTATCAAGCATCCTCGATTTGGTGTTCGTGTTGATCCCGTTCACATATCAGAGGCTCGTAACCCCAGTTGGCGATCCCATCTCTACAGATGTGCACGGGTTTACAAATGGTACGCTGTCTCAAACCCCGCATGCCCACTGGCTATATACCTTGACACCTGCCGACAAAAGCGTTCTTATTTTTGGTGTTTTTTTTCTCCAAGTCGTCTTGGTTCCTCTAGGTCTTCTTCTGGCGTCCGAACCCAAAGATGCCAACACCCGCGGTCTTTCTGCCGCTGCAGTGGGGACACCACCCACAAAACGGAAGTGGCAACGCAAAATTGAGGCGACAGTCAGCTTTTTGACGAGCTATTTTGTGTTTTTCGATATTAATTGCCGCATTGCGGTGACGCCTTTGAGGACGATAGCGCTTCAATTGTTTCCGGGAGATTATGGAGCGCTCAAGAAAGCCCCTTTGAAGCTCTCAATGGCCGTTTCTATTTTTCTCTTTTCCGCGGATACCCTGGTGTGTCTTTACAGAAATAAGCGCCTGCCTATGCCAGTTTCGTTTTTAAAACAGCTGTTTGGATGGCCTACACAAGGCGATCAGAGCGGTCTGCTTGCTGAATTCGTTCTCTTCATTTATTTCACGTTTTTGGGGACTTACATTGTCAGCGTTACGTCGATGGTGTGGTTTGAATTTTGGGCGTCCAAAGCTTTCTTTTCCGAAGCGATGCTTAGTTTAGTTTTCTTTGTGCTCTACAAATACGCTCCTGCATTCAACAACAGCAAAAAGAACAACCCGACCAAGCAAAGCTGACCGACGTCAACGCAAGATTATGTGCCAAAAAACCAGCCAACGCGGAATTGCATTGAAAAATAAATTTGACTTTTTAAGACCGCCAGGTAACAACGAGATGCGAGCATCTCGTTGTGTACAATCGAAAATTCAAGCTTATGGTGTCGCTGCGGCCATGCTCCAGGCATTGTATAACCCATGCGAGGGCCGCTCAAATGCATTCTTTCAAGTCACAGAGACAGATATCAGATTTTGTCTTCCCGCTCGATGATATTAAGTCAATTAAATAGCACCAAGATATTCAAATGTTAAGGAAAACCCCGCCCTTCTAATGTTAGTCTGAGTTGTCTTTTTCAGCTTTCCCCCCAAATATCGGCTTTAAATTCATTGATAGATTAATGGATTACACAGGGCAGAGCTAGAGGTGGCGGCCTTACATGATCCACGCACATCAACGTGCAAATAGTTACCGTAGAGAAACCGATCTGTGGAAATACGCCTGTAGGTATTCACTTAGGAGTGAAAGACCAGCATTTATGTCCACAAAGCTATAATTTACTTAATCCATTTGGGGTTGGCAGTCACATCGTTACCGATAAGCATTGAAGGACATGATGCTGCAAGTAGCCAATTAGGAAGCGACTTTAAATAGGTCGTTAATTTATTAAGTGGATATCGAATAGAGAGGAAGGGCCGTCGAGGATGTACTCTTAATATGAACCGATTGCACGTTGTTGAGTGAACCGCCTGGGATTTGCTTAATCGCATGCGAGAGCACTGTTAGAATGTTCGCCTCAATCTCCTCTAAGGGCATGTCGAGCGTGGCAACCTTGATAGAAATACATCTTCCATTGGACGGAAAGTAAAGCGGCGTTGTCCTGGATGCCTCTTCAATGATCTTGAGAAATGACACTTTATCCGGGGATTGAGGAAGCTTTACGGGAATAGGGAGCCTTTTCTTTTCGAAAAAACTCTTCCCAAGCAATGGCGGCAGCATCCTTAAAATTCGCCTATCAGCTAAAAACAGCTCAAACGAGGCAATAAGTTGACGTTTGGCCTCAAAAGGCTTATACTCCTTTCGAAGCTTCTCTATGCTGATGATCTAAGGTAAGATGATTAAACGTTACAGTCAGGTTTGGAGGCGCAAGCGATGTATAGGTGGAAGATAGGCCATCTTTTGAAAAGAGACATGTTTTTTTTGGCTGTGAATGGGGAAGGGGCAGTGGTATAGGCAAAGCGCCATTTTTGCTTGTTATATTCCGTTTGACGTTGATTATGAGGAATAGTTGCAGATCGGTTTCAGAATCAAGAAAGGTGAGCGGTCGATTTTTTGTCGCCTCAACAGTGTCTTTTTCATTTTCTTTTCCCATAGTGTGCATGACCAAGCCCCTAATCGACTTGGAAAGGACCTTCCGATCCACAATCTGGTTGGCGAGCATCATCGGGTAGAAAATTTTAAAAATCCAACACAATTTAAATTTTAAAGTGCAATTTACATTTGCTAGCTTAAAAGGAAAAGCAATCGATTTGCATGTTGTGATCAGGATGACTCAATAATTTTCCAAGAGCCGCTGTTATGACTTCCACCACAAACTCGATTGCAGTAAAGGAAATGGCCATGCTTCCGCTTAACGCAGATGGCCGGCTTTATCATCTTGGTCTGAAGCGTGGAGAACTGGCCCCACGCATACTTACTGTTGGCGACTACGGGCGCGCAGAGCGCATTGCAAAGGAGTCGTTAAAGAACATTGTTTTCCAGCACACTTCCGACCGCGGATTTTCAACATGGACAGGCTATTTTGATGGCGAGCTTGTCTCCATTGTGTCCATTGGGATGGGATTACCTATGATGGACTTCATGCTGCGCGAAGCACGAACGATAGTCGACGGTCCGATGGCTGTAATCAGATTCGGTACATGTGGCTCATTAAATGCTGAGGATGAAATCGGCTCCATTTGTGTGTCCACGGCTTCCTGTCTTGTCTCCCGAAATCCAAATTATTTCATTGCAAAGCGTTCATCGGCCTCCTCAAAGACCACCACGCCATATGCCGTATCTGAGCTGGAACAGTCAGACACTTCGCTTACCAGCCTTTTACTTTCCTCGCTTTCGGAGGAGAAAGAGGTTGTTGCTGTCTCTGGAATCAATGCCACCGCTGATTCATTCTACTCTTCGCAAGGACGGCGTGTGGGGGATCCCGCCTCGAACACATTGTATTTTGTGGATGAAAACGAGGAACTCATCGATTCTCTGACCCGCTCCACTCACCCTGTACGGACGCTGGAAATGGAAACCTTCCAGCTTCTTCACTTGGCAAACTGCGCATCGACAACCAAAATCCATGCAACTGCCATGGTAATGATTGTAGCAAATCGCCCAAAGAATCTCTTTGCATTCTCCGACGAGCGCAAGGAGCTTTTGGAGCGTATCGCAGGCCGTTGCGCTTTACAAGCCCTCTCTAAACAATCCCTTCTTTAATAAAATTTTAAAGGCGCCAGTCCTGAAGCAGTGTTGCCTGCTAACAGACCATGTGGGGGTGTGAAGGTCTTTTGGATAGTTTATTAGCGTTAGACGCGGGTAGCAGGCCGGACAAGCGGTTCTCCATAGCTCTTGGTGGTCTCATCTGGCGAAGAGGCGCCTAGCGGCACCGGAGCTTTTGCAGCTTCGCCACGTGTAGTACGTGGTGGAGAATCTCCATCTCTCATCGCTTGAATCTCAGATGCGGTCAGAAAGCGGCCTCCAGGGCCCCGCGGCCGCCGCATGGCATGCTTGTGGCGTGATTCGTGCATGTACGGTTTCTAAAGGAAAGAAACCGAGTCCAAACCTTTGTTCTTTTAAGCTTGGCAACCTGCGCTTCGAAGCGTGTGCGCGCATCGCGACGCTTGAGGATGCGATGATACTGCTTTGCATTGACATAGAGTGGTTCATCCTCCAGCATTTCTAGGTTTCGATAGAAGGATGAGGCTGCGGCTGCGGCTGCCGAATTCATTGCCATCGCGGGTGATGAATTCGGCAGCGAAGAGAAGGCTGGGCCCTGGGCGTTCTAAAATTAACATATACGCGAATACAGAGCCCATCATTGCGTGGTTTTGAATGGCCATGCCATGATGTTGGTGATGGTGCATCGGGCGTGCATTTCCATAAAGTTGTTGATGCTGTGCATGGTGTGACTGGGAAGCGGCACTCATGCCGCTGGGTGCTGCTGGGCTTCCGCCATATGTGGGTCCATGGTGCTGTTGATTAGCCATGAGTCCATGGGGATTGTGTTCCTGGGACTGTCCAGAGGGCACCCCGAAAGGTGCTCCTCCGTTTGCCGAAACAGAAGATGTCTGTGAAGATGAGAATGTAGGGCCCGAAGAGGGGTACTGTCCCGTGGGAATAGATTGCTGGAATTGGCTTGTCGATTGGACCGCCATCATCATTTCTGATTTGTTGGGCTGTTGGATATGGGTGACATGGCCGCCCATGCCCTCCTCCTCTTGCTGGTTCATCATCATGAGAAGCATAAGTTTGGCGGATGGCGATGCACTCGAATTTTTCTTGATATTGTGACTATGGTTTCCATCAGCGCCGGTACTGTCGCCATTCCTATTATCACCACAATCTAAGGGTTAGCAAGCTGATATTGCTGATGGTGAAAATGATAACAAAAGTGATCCCAAAATAATGTGTTGATGATGTATTTTGTGGGATGTCAATCTCTCGATCATCACCAAGTGGCTGGTTACCAACCTGAAAACGAGGCAGCCGCCCGTTTGCGTGGGGCAGCCATTTCAAGCGCCCTCGCACTGGAAGTCTTTTCAGGGTGTATGGTCGCATTGTTGGCGTCGATTGTGGACATGTCATCTGCGGAAGTGCTAGCACGAATCATGGCTATTGGCCAAATGTATCCAATCAAAATCAAATCCCTTGCGTTTTCTATTGCTGCATTTTTCGGCTGTGTTTAGGGTTACATTTGAGCGATATTTGCATTAATTACTTTAATTGGTGACGTATACATTTATGGTGATGGCAGTTTCGATCATATTGGAGACATTAAAAGCAAACCACTGCATGAAAAATGCTTTTAATTTGATTTTTCCCGCATTTGAAGTGTCGCTTTTGAAAACAGACGTTTTAAAATGCTCCGAACGCGTTTGAATGCCACCAGACCATAGTACAACCGAATTTGTGTAAATTTGAAATAATCGGGTGTGCCATTTTTCGGGGCCATCAACCCTAGACCGGTCCGAAATTAGCAATTGATGCATATATCAAAGTTGGTGGCAAGGAGGGGCGTAACTACACCTTTTTTAATTTCAAGATGTCAATTTCCGTGCCCGTTCGCATGGTTGGCACCATTGACCAGGGTACGTCCTCCACCCGGTTTATCCTGTTTGATCGAGACACCCTGCAGGTGGTGCATCGGCAGCGGTCATCTGTCTCGCTTAAATCACGAGCACCACAGCAAGGCTGGGCCGAGTTCTGCCCGCGACAAATAATATCTTCTGTAATGGACGCCATGGAAACTGCCTGTGCTCATCTTGCCCCTGAAAATACCGTTGAAGGTTAGGGCAGTAGCTTGCTTTCGCCCTAGCGATTGGAATTGTCAACCAACGGGAGTCCGTTTTGGCCTGGGACCGAGGCAGTGGCGAGCCTTTGACACCAGCGATTTGTATGCATGCCCTTTCTAATATCAAGTGTGGTACGACAATCGTACTGCTGACCTCGTCTCAAAGTTCCGTGAAAAGGAGCTTGGAGCGACCACAACAGTGCAGAGCCTGACGGGACTGCCTGTTTCAACGTACTTTTCTGCAGTGAAGATCAAATGGCTGCTGGAAAACGAGCCTTATGCCTCGAAAATACGCCAGGCGTTAGAAACGTCAAATCTCCGGATAGGAACTATTGATACATGGATTCTTGATGTATGGACTCGTTTTGATTGTAGAGGATCACCGGGGGAAAGTCTTACTTTACCGATATTACCAATGCTGCGAGAACGAGTCTGATGAACATTCACACGGGCATGTGGGATGCGGCTCTTTTTGAGTTTTTTGAACTGGGTCCCTCGCTCCTCAGTGCAATGCCAGAGATTCGGTCAAATTGCGACCCGCTTTTTGGAAACACAGCGATCTTTAAGAAAGGTTCTTTGCTCGACGGTGTTCCAATTACGGCAATGCTGGGAGATCAGCACGCTTCATTGCTTGGTCACCATTGCCTTCGCCCTGGTGAAGCAAAAGCAACGTTTGGCACTGGGTGCTTCCTCATGATGAACACGGGCGCTGAGTTGGTTTTCTCACCAGGGCTTGTGACTACCATTGCTTTCCAATTGGGAAAAAATGCTCCGGTTGTTCATGCAGTGGAGGGCTCCATTGCAATGGCCAGCCGCCTTATGAGTTGGCTGCAGGAAACGCTTCACATCCCCCCGTCGAGCGATGGCTCGATGGAAATTGGTATGCCCCTCAACCTTTTTTCTGTTGTTCCATAGCTTTTATTGGCATTTATTGATCCGGATTATTTCGATTGCGACACCTTTTACGCTTTTGCTTATTTTAGATAGCTTTCTATGTCAGGTAGCAGATGCAGGCGGTGTTTCATTCCTCTCTTCATTGACAGGAATTTATTCACCAGTGTGGAGGAGCGATTTGAAGGGATCAATTCACGGCCTCACGTTGGAGACAAAACCGGAACATATTTGCAGAGCCGCTGTGGAGTCCATCGCCTTCCAGACGAAAATGGTATGCATCATCTTTGCATTTTGTAGATCATCGATGAAATGACACATTGCTCTGTGAGTGGGGCAACTTCAGCGGGGCTTTCCGTAGATGGCGGTCTCTCACTCTCAAATGTTCTATGCCAAATTGAAGCTGATGTCCTGTCTCGCCCAATATTTAGGCCTGCAGAACAGGAGCTTTCTGCCCTTGGTGGTGCCGTTGCTGCCCTTATCGGTGCCAATAGTGACACCATGGATCACATGTTAAACAAGCTGCATGGGTGCGACGCAATGAAAAATGCCGACAGCTTCAGCCCGAACACGGCACAGAGAAATCTGGACGCCTTTGAAAGGTGGAAAACATTGCTGGAAAGGGAGCTCTTCCAGCATCATTGAGAATCTGAAATAAATTTTAAATTGTCTCAAGGTTAAGCCAATAGGATCATCTTTTGCATCATGAAAACGGATCCTTCATCAATCTATACCTAACCCTGAGCATGGAAAGATCCGGGATGCCATCGTCATCCTCGTCATCCTCTTCTTCTTCGTCGTCATCGTTTATTATTTCTGTCGGCATGGAGTCTGAAAGCCGCCCCATTTCAACGATTGAGGTATGATGAAAAGCTCATTCCCAGGTGGAAGGTGATCTTTCTCAGCTACATTCGCTGATCCAATCGAACATTGCAAAAGTCACAGCACGCGGCGAAGACATGGACCAGCTAAAAACTCAAGCCAGTATTTCTTTTTGTTTATCCGTGTAGATGACTTGTTGGAGCAGACTCAACAGTTTAAGAAAAGCGCCGATGACACGGAGGTGTACATTAGGAAAAAGGCATACTCGTCCATGTTCACTACGTCACTTTGGGTGGTCTTTGTGGTGATGTTTGTGTTCGGTATGAAGATCTTTTGTGACTGAACATAGCTCTTATTGTATTTACGATGAAGTCCGGGCTCTGGAAGGTGGCGCTCCTTTAGATTCTTTCAAAGGCCAGGCCTAGCGGTTTGCACATGCTGAATTCCGATCCAAGGACTTGCAACAGGCATAGCCCCAAGAACCGTCGTTCCAAAACGACCCCCACGCAGACGAATGTGTTGCATAAGACCTGTTCTCGTCCGTAGGAATTGGAACAAATGGCTTGGAATCCTCTGTAGAAGCACTGGCAGCTGGTTCGCTATCGATTTCCACAGAGCCTTGATTCTTTGCGTTGACAGCTGTCTTTTTGTAGCGTTCAAATTCAAGGGCCACCTGTGTAGGCGATGTCTGCGGGAGAAGCGTCGATTTGCGATTTGGGTCCCAGCAGAATAGATCAAGTTCGGTTGGCAACTGTGACAGATCCGAAAACGACGCACGTACCCATCTTTCTTGTATCGGCCCTCCGGACTCGGGTGCTCTAAGAGAGCGTGTCTTGGGATCATAAATGGCTTCTTTGGAAACATTTTTTTGCAAGTATTTTGCCGTATCTTCGCGGATTCGAAGGTTTCTCACGGTCATTCTAGACTTGGATTCGAAATCAAGCTTTTGGTTTACAATTGTGTCGACCTCCTGCTCCATAGAAGCATCTTTGGAGACAAATCGAGACAGTAGACCTTCGTATAGGGGCTCAACGTGCTCCTTGAAAGTGGTAGACTCAAAATTCTTCCAGTTGTCGCGCTTTTCATCGTAATTTGATAAAAGCTTGATTCCTGGAAGCACCGGTGGATTCTCATCTTTGGGGATCGATGGTATCTCGTCAGGACCAATATCTTGGCCGCTCCATTTCGCACCGATCTTTCGAGGTCTCTCCAGACAATCACGACGTGCATGCGTTGCCGAACCGCAATTTTCACACGCGCCTTTTCTGTATTTTGTCGAATGGATGATGGAAATTTGATGCTTTTTTGGAAGCAATTGGGTGACAAGAATCGACTTTTGGTGGGCAAGGTTTTCAGCCTCGTTTCCAGTATACCCTAAAGTAAAATGGAATCATATACATGGTGCTTTGGATATGTACTTTGGAATGTACGGATTTACAGCCGCATCCTGCTTGCTGTCATCTTCGTGTGATTGAGATGCGGAACGTTCCTGCATTTAAATGACGCCGATAAAAATTTTAATTTAAATTTAAAGCGTCACCACCGGTACGCTATCAATTGGCCAAATGTGGCTGGGTGACCGACCAATTTCACCTTCACCACAGCCTGATGACAAAAAAATCTGTTCACACATGTCGATATAAAAAGAACTCGAATTTTATTTATCTTTTACTGTTTGCGCGATTTTTCGCTTGAATTCTGCGGGCTTTTCCTGGCCGTTGTTTTTTGGTATTTTTCCTAGCCAGCGGCGATTTCGGAAGATACCGCTTCCTTCTTTGAGCCTGCTCGTCGTTGTCAGAGTCTGCTACATGTACGCCAAAGTCATCTTCTTCCGCATCCTGATCGAGTGGAGAAAGTTGGGAGCGGTTTTTCTTTGAGGTTGTTCGCTGTTTTAGCGTTTCTTTTTGGACCTGCGCTGATATTTTCTTTAAAGTTCGTTGTTTCCGCGCCTCGACGCGCGCAATTCTATCTGAATTTATAGCATTTGCTTTAGCTTGAAGGCGATTCATATGCTCTTTGCTCTTCAGCATCATGTCTGCAGATTCGAGTGTTTCTTTGGATGGAGGAAATGTGCAAACATTGGCCATACACAGCAACGCCTGCTTTGCACATTGATAGAAGAATGTTTCTCTTTGCAGATCATCATTATGATCGGGGATGCTACTAGCACACGTATCAACAACGCAATGAAGGAACGTAAAGCTCATTGCCAGTTTAAAAAATTAAAATAAATTAAAATAAATTAAACCAACTTTTGGTTGAAATATGCTGCAACCTTCCCCTAACCCTACTTGAACGTTCCCACCTTGAGGGGGAGGGGGAGGGAGGCTGACACAATGAAAAGACGCTTTTTGACACCAAGAAATACATGCTCGGTGTTAATGAAGATTTGAACTCTATGTTTCGAGGAAAACATAAGTTCTCAATTCGCGCCGAATCTGAGCTTGACGCTACAAAGGGGGCGTTGAGGGGTTCGGAAACATCCCAAGTTCCAAAAGGAGTGTGAACATGTCCATTTGGGCGGCGAATTTGGTGAAAAACTTTGTTTTTGCCCTTTTGTGCAAGTTTGGTTTGAAGCGCCTGATCCTGCGGCGTTGTAGAGATTATCAAATGGGGCGCTTTCGCTTTGAAGCAAACGTGCTAAAATGGCAGAGCTTGAGATAAAATTTAATTTTATTGAAATGTTGATGGCATTGATTTCTCTCATCAGCCTAATGGTTTCGCCGTTCCTGGTCTCCGGTGAGGCGCTTACATATCGTCTTGGCCCGTATGAGGCTGCTTGCTTTTATCAGGCCATTGACGACATTGTCGATAAACGTCTATTTTTTTACTTTGCCGTCCAGAAGGCAGGAACTGCCGGCGACTCGATAGAGGCTCGCGTCACGAATCCATCCGGGGTTCTAATTTGGCAATCCGTGGATGTGTTTGGAGACCAATCATTTGAAGGGCTGGAGTTGGGCGAATACAAGCTTTGCTTTGACAATAAGGGGTCCTTTTCATCAAAAACGATCGATTTTGATATAACAGTCTCTGTCGAGGACGAGTGGACACGGCCAACGGCAACGCCGTTTTCGTCTCCAAGAAGCTCGGCATTGGAGCAATCACTCACCAACTTGGGCGTCGAGCTGCGAACGCTTCGCTCTTACCAGAGATATTTTAAGCAAAGAGACTCCCGAAACATGTTCACCGTCCAAGGCACGCTGTCCCTTATTAAATGGATGACCATCCTACAAATCCTCTCCAGCGTCGCAGCAGCTGCATTCCAGAGCCGTCTTTTGGATTCAATGTTTGCAGCCAGCCATGCCGTGCGTGTTTAGCTAAACATAAACGTGTTATATATGTAATACACATGCTGAGATGATCTTTTATTTTGCCAATTAGAGTCAAATGGATGCGCCAAAGCCGACTTGAATATTGCGTGTCGAAAATTTCATCCGCCGGGACATGCAATTCAAAATTACATGGCAAGAAACGCGCAGCTTTAGTGGGCTAAAGGGCCTGAGCGGAAATCCCCATAATACAATCATTTCCTTGGGTGAGCCCACCAAAAACATAACCGTTGGCGCGGTCTGCAGCCCGCAATATACGCAACATTGAATCTTTATCTTCCACAGCAACCAGCATATGGTGGAGGTATGGCATATCTTCGACCAGTTCCTCCAACAAATACCAAAGCCTGTGTTGGGATTTTCGAGTCGTAGTTTTACGCATAACATTTGATTCTATAAAACAATCAGGGGCCTTTGAATCGGCAGCATTAATTTCTGTCGATGTGCCCGAATCAGGACCGAAATCGGGATCGAAATCGTTGCAAATTTTATCCAGCCCTGGATCCTCTCGCTCGAGGGCAAGATTCTCCTTTTCTGATGGGGTCAACAAATCTGTCTTTGAAAAAGCATTAATAAAAGGCAGCTCTATTGATGCCATTGCAGTCAGACAAAGAAGTTTCGAAGAAACTAGCCGCTCTTTGGTGAAGATCGCGGTGGTGGCATCGACAAGGCAAATTGCCACTAGCCGAAATTGAAGGCTTTTTTCAAGCAACAATATTAGCTGGAAAAGGTAAGGCTCGTTGGTTATAAGCTCAGCTTGCCCTGGAAAATCAAATATAAAATAGGGGACTTCGCCATCTTCTTCTACATCCTTCTCATTTTGGGTAATGATGCTTTTGAGTCGCGAAAGGAACCAGGTACAATTGGGCGGAGCAACAAGCATTCGCATTGCCTCAACAAGCGCTAAGGATCAAAAGACTAAAAATACCTGCATTTGGGCCGATCGAAAGCCTACCCATCAAATCCCATTGCGAACAAATTTCAGTCACATCTACCGCCGGCGTGTATCTTGCAGGGGCATCTTCTACCGGAGGGAACATCATGCTTCCAGGGTCTAGATTTATCACATGACACTTTCTTCCTAGGGACTGGAGAAGCTGCTGCATGCCCGTGCAAAAGGTCGACTTTCCAGCGCCGGCGGGTCCGATCACTATTTGTCCAAATGGCATGTTGAAAGAAGGACCGTCGCCGTTTAATGTCAAATAAAGCTCTCCAAACCCTCAAATTTTAATTTACCAATCAAGCAGGCTTACGACGAGTTAAATTTCCAGACAATTTATTGGAATTTCGCCGTGTAACATATGGTACACATATCACTTGCTGGAGCGATTGCCTCATCCATCGCAGCATTTGTTCTCCAGCCGCTAGACGTTATCAAAACCCGGCTTCAAGAGTCTCCCTCTTCATCGATAGCATCTTCCGTTAAAAAAGGCCATTTGTGGCGAGGATTACGTATTCTGCTACATTTCTTTCTTAGTTCCTACTCTTCTACGAAACGCACCTGGATCTGCATCGTATTTTGTGGTTCTTGAGTTTTGTCAGGTGAGCGCTCGGGCTTTAGCCGGGGGTGCTCCAACATCATTGACGAAAATTCTCGTCGATAGAGAAGAAAAACTCAGCAATGCTGCTAGGTTTTCTTGTGGTGCATTCTCGCGGTCTTTTGTTGGCTTCATTTTTATGCCCGTATCGGTAATAAAGACCCGTCTAGAGGTAAATATGGCCAGGCTCCTTTCGTAGAGTGCCGAGTTTATTTCTGAAAAGCTCCTCAATTCTTGCAAAACCCTCTTTCGGCAGCGTGGTATTAAAGGTACAGTGAATCCTTTAACATTTAAGGTTAGATCTTGCTCCTAATTTTATAAAGGGTTTTTCGCTGGAACAATGCCCACCGTCATTAGGGACGCTCCATATGCGGGGATTTATTTTGCCGTATATGAGTCCTGTAAGGATACTCTATTTAAAGGCAAAAAGGGCATCTTTGAATCAGCTCTTTCCGGTGTGTCTCCATTGGATTTATCTCGCTAGGATTGATAGCTTCTGGATTTGCGTCTGTCATTACACATCCTTTTGATGTGCTCAAAACTAGAATGCAGTTGCAACCAACTTTGGGGATAAAAGAGGCACTCTTGCAATCAACAGTATTGATTGTCTTGGCTATTTTTAGGGACATCAAAATTTCCTTAAAATCATGTATTCCGGATTTGGCCCTCGGGTTGTCAAAAAGGGGCTCAATGCAGCGATCGTGTGGTCCCTGTATGAACATCTGGCAGATTTAAATCACGTTACTGGTGTCAGGTAAAGCATGTTA